AAAAAAAAAAAAAAACATACAGACGAATTGAGTACCTCCTTCTTTTGGGAAGTCGGTCAAAAATAAGGTGTAATTGCTGACATCTTAGGCAACAAAGAAGTGTGTGTTTACGCTTTATTATAATAGTATAGATTAAAAAAAATACTGTGTATGGGAAATTAAGAAATATCTATAAAAATTACATAAAAGGAACAATATAACTATACTTTTATATCTGTACTAATATTATAAATAGGAAGGATTTGTTTGTATGGATTTTTGTATGTATTGAAATAACTTAAAAACTACTGCACCAATTTCAAATCTGCACCAATAAAAAGCTATGTTATCACTGAGTAATATAGGCAACATTTTTACTGTTTTTTAATTGAACGCGGGCGTAGTCGCGAGCAACAGCTAGTGAAGAAACATAATTGAAAAGCTATTGTTAATCATTAAGGAATAAGTCATTTTATTATTGTTTATTAAGAGAAAGTCTACTAAGGAATCCCTTAACTAACATTAACAACATTGTGAGTGGTATTAAACACACGTGTTGTTTACAAAGTAATTTATTATGTTCATATAATTTAATAGTAAATAATTATTATATGTGTTAACGTTGGAATGGCAAGCCAAAAGCGTCACGCATCCCGCATTCCTTCTAAAAGGTCGTGACAACGGAGCGACTAATATTAGCGTAGACTTCATTGATATCTACTCGAGAAATAATGAATAGCTTAGTAGAAGATGTCGTCCATTGATAAACTATAAATCTGATAGTATCAGATTTATCGATTCCTATAGTTAATGACTTGATAATTTATATGTTACCGGTTGTAGACTTAATAGAGATATGTCAAGATAGATATATTTGTTACATCGTAATTAAACGGCAGAACTGATCTGAAAGAAATTAAAAACAAATGAATACTACATTAGTGGTATTGCTATATACTCCTAGTTAACACAGTTAATATAATAAATAAAGCGTAACTAATATAATAAAGCGTAAACACACACTACTTCGTGGCGTAGGATTTTTTTATAGTTAATACAAAGTGGCAAACGAGCAAGCGGTCACCTAATTCCCCCAAAATGGAAAACGACCGCTGCCCATATGCTGTTTTCAGCAATCACAACACATTTATAAATAATTATTTCTTTGATAAAAAGCCCTATACCTACAACACGCTCTAGGCTCTATATTTTCACGCTATTATACTTTGGTGTGAATAAAAAAACCTTCACATGGGAAAAGGACCATAAACTAATAACTGGCAACATTAAGGAAACAAGGTTATTATGGTAGCGGTAATTTTGACAATGGAGAATTTGACAAATGAAAACAATACATTTCTTTTTAAAATTTAATGCGGATGAAGCCGCACGGGAACAGCTAGTACGTTAAGAAATGTAGTAAATTTTACCTCTCTCTCTCTCTCTTCCATTCCTACGTCCCCAAAGTGGGGCAGAGGGCGTCCACAGTACGCCGCCAGCTCGCTCTGCGTTGTAAATTTTACCTAAGTATGTATAATTGATATTCATCCCACAAGTCGATATTATAAATAGCTGAGCGCTTCCGACACGCGCGGGGTTTTTAAGTAAAACCATATCCGTGCAGGAAGTAGATACTTGCGTACCAACAAATTTGTGGCACGCGAGACTAACGAATGATTTGATGCATCGATTGATTGATGAATGGATGGGGAAATGGGGATAGTGTGATGAGAGGTGATGGTGTTTATGAGAGAAACGATTATCTAGTTTATAAGGTAAAAAATCAACACGCTTTTGCTAAAATATAGTTTAGATAGTTCTATATGCTATGAGCGTGGTAGAAATTAGATCTTTTTTACTATGTATTGGTTAGTAAAATTACGTGACACCATGTAATTTTACCTGTGATACCCCTTTCTGTTCAGTGCCCTGGGTTGCCCAATCTCGCATTAACTTAACGCCAGTACTGCATGCAGAAATAGCGAGACAAGTTACATGTCAATCATTCTTCATACACTAATATTATAAATGCGAAAGTTCAGATGGATGGATGTTTGTTAGAGTTTGTAGTTTAAACGGCTGAACGTATTTCGATGAAATTTGGCATAGAAGTAGAGAATAGTCTGGAAGAACACAGGCTACTTACCTTTGGTATTTTTTAATTCCGCGCGAACGGTGTCGCGGGCGAAAGCTAGTAATATATGCAATTGAAACTTGATAGGATATCGACGACAAATTTTCAATTTTTGCAACCAATACCCAAACATTTATTGTCTCATTGGATAATTAAAAAGTTATCTATTTATAAATAGAATTTATTTTCGGAGCGTTTTATCCAGCAACTATGTAATTTCTTTTTCCCCAAAGCTCACGGAAGCCGGAACATTGGCCGGCGGTAAATAGAAATAGAGAACGATTTATTTTCTTAGAAACATAGTCGCGAGGAAATACGTTTCCTACGCGAAATAATAACGGTTTCTACAAATTCATTATTCTTTTATTACATTACTCGTATGTATTCATGATTGCATGTTTATTTTAAACTAACTTTCGCTCGTGACTCCGTCCGTGGAATTCGTGAATCCGTGAATAAAAAAAACCAAGTAGCCTACGTCTTATGGTTAATTTTATCAAGATCTGTTGAGCAGTTTAGGCTACAAACTTTAACAAACATCCGTCTAAACTTTCGCATTTATAACTACTAAGATATTTCATCTAGTTCTAAATTAGCTTAGTAAATTCGCAATTATAATTTTAAAAAAATATATAACTGGGTGAAACTATCGACTATCTACATTATTTAATTACTTTCTATGTGACTACGCAATAAAACGTTTAGTGCAACCAAATTCTTACCAGTCAACAAAAATTACGAGAACTATGTTTTTGTTGGCATTAAGAAAACTATTATCATTAATTTTAATTTACACTCTAATCTTCAACGACAGCTGACTGACACAGCTATGTATAAAATTTTAAAACACCAAACAAGACACGAGACTACAAAAGACTTGTAATAAAAACCATCAGAATAAAGTACCTTAAGAAAACATCAATTTGTTATCGTACCATTGAATTTGCGCCAACATTAACAGAACAAAACGAAAGCACGACTAACATTAATCAAAAGGTTGAATAAATCAAGAAAATTACGTAACTTGAACGCTGAGGCGCATTTTCTTCATTTTCATGCGACGACATTAGGCGAAAGCGAGACGGAGAATCTACACTTAAAATTAACGTACGTTGGACAGAGATGGATAGTGTGACCGCGGTGTAGTTACGATCGGCGCAAGCGCAGGCGATCACTGAAAGCTTCGTTTATCTTCAGTCTTCGCCCAAAGCTCGTGGCGTGCGGACGCGAGTTTAAGAATTCATTTGAATTTCTTACGAAATTCGATTGAGCGAATCATCGAACTTTTTGATTTTGTGCTCGTGGTATAGTGCAGTGTAAATTTTATGTGTTGTAGTTTTAAATCGGACATAATATTTATGACGAAAGAGTTTTTTTGCGGATGCCCGTAGGAATCTTATTCATTCCAAGAAACTGGTAAGCAATTTGTGTTATTTTAAGATATAATTAAATTTAGAACATGGTACGGTGCGTATGATATTGTAATTAGTAATATTGAACATGAGTCATGAATTATCGGAACTGTTCGAGGAAATTTTTGTCGTTCGGCTAAAAAAAAGTACGTTGCAACGACTGAAACTGAATTCGTTTATTATGTATATCTATCGTACGTTTTTGTTTGTTGGTATTTATTTTTGAGTCAAGAAATATAGATGGTGAAATAGTTTTTTTTTAAACCTCGCCAGACTTTTAAATATACTAACGAAGTTTTGTATTTATTTGAAATATTACATTTTCTATGACAAACAAAAGCAATAAGTATTCACGCCTTGTTATTCAATTACGGTATTTAGTCTCGTTTTGACTTTTACATCTTTATGATTTTTTGGTAGAGTGTTAATTATTTAAAACTTTCAGGTTTGTTGTTTTTACACGATTTTTCAGCACAGGCCTTTCTATTTTCAGTTATAAAAGTGAATATTTGTAAATCGCAGAGCAGGATAACTTCATTTTGCCGCTTGACTGTTATTTCACGCGGGTGACGGCCTCAATTTTGGACCCCGTATTTGATATTTGGATAACATTTTTGATATAGTTATAACCATACTACGACATAAGTGGACATTAAGGGAACCTAAGTGTAGATTCAATATCTACAATACTGCTCATCTAAGAGCTTGGTGGCCTCCCAATTCGGTAATAATAACGAAGTAACGGCCCGAGCCGAGGCTCCTGAGGGAGCCCTTGAGCTTAGTTACTAATAAACGAGGTTTAGGCTAAGCGCCATCTGCGCTCGGCGACCTCAAGCCCGGTGAATCTCTAAATGCCTCTTCAAGGCAAACAGTAGCAATTCAGTCACAAAAAAAATAAAGAACTACTGCTCAAGTAATATAATGATTAACCGAGGTTAAAATGCTGTAATTGTCACTAAGGAAGACCTTTAGTCTAGTTTTCTAACATTAAAATTATACTTTGCCATTCTGAGTATGATTGTTAATGCGGCGTTTATTGTCTGATCTTGCATTTCATTTGCATAAAACTTTTGTGTTAAGAAGAAACATGTTAAAATAATTATGAATGTAAGAGGAGCCTGCGGGGGCTGGTCCCGGGTTCGAACCTCGGTCCCTTTGCCATTCATCGTAACGCACAACACGTGGCTAACAATGTGTTTTTGTTGCCAGGACAGAGACAACTGTGCAGTCTGTTTCTGATTTAAAAATTTAACTTCAAACAGAACGATCTGAATTCGTCTGTTGTTCTTTGATTTGGGTGAGTTATTAAATAAACATATTTAAAAAAGTCATTTTTAAATTGTCTAATCGTTTAGGAGTTGCTGAAATGTAACTTGAGTTGGGCGATTAAAATTAGTTTTACAAACCAACGTAAAAATACATAAATAAAATAAAAACTGAAAAATCTTTATCAAATAAATAAATTAATGTTAGTTTAAATTGATTAAGAATGTAATTGTACTAAAGTGTAAATTTAAATACACTTATGAAGTCTCCTAAAATCCTAGCAGTCTCTGTTCTTTCCGGTCACGCGTCCCGTTTGTCGCGCACGTGGTTCCGCAGCAAAAAAAAGAAGACGAAAGAAGATGTTACATTTTAACCTATTGCTAGACGCAGCTGCCGACAATAACGTAGTTTTAAATTAATTATCGAAATAGGTAACAATAATATTATTATTACTTGTGCATATAGTAATATTTTTCGCGGGTGTTGAATTTGAATAGATGTCTTCTAGGTTAGAAATAGACTGAAATGATTTGACACATTTAATGCCACAATTTTTACTTACTTAAAAAGAAACGCATTGGGAGTCGAATGCACTGAATGTGTTAAGAAGTTCACTTTTATCTCTCTTCTTACTAATATTATGAATACGAAAGTTTAGTTGGTTGGATGGATGAACTCGCTGAAGTTTGGCATACATGTGGAAAGTTTGGAAGAACACATTCTTCTAATCACGTTTTTTTGCGGACACTGTCACGGGCAACTGTTAGTTAGATATAAATTCAATCCTAATAGATGTCTTTGCGCCTTCATTTTCCTAAAACGTAACGTAAGTTATTAAGTAATGTAATCAACGCGTCAAATGTAGGTCTCTGTCTACTCCTCTTGGTTACGGGCATGAGTTATGTTGTTAATGATAAATCCTTTGTAAAGCGTAGCAAGTCGTAATTACAAAACAAATTATACGTGAACTACAATCGCTTATCAAAAGACCATTGGTTTAGATTTAAGTTTTAGGTTATTTTCTACAATTCATACACATGATGACTATCTTTTCTATCTATCTTTTTCTTTACTCTATCTCTGTCTCTTTTCCCCTTTTATCGTTATAATTTTGATAAATAGGTCTATATTGGACAAGTACTGTTGAATAAAAATTCAAAACATCTATTTGCTATATTTAATGATTATATCAAAGTTATTAATAATAATAAAACAATAGTTTATTTTGCATTTGTTTTAACGACAATCATAAGTGGCTTCGAGTGTATTTTTAGCAGCTAAATATTGTATATTACAGATAGAACAAATCTTATCTTATTAACATTATAAATGCGAAAGATTAGATGCATAGATGTTTGGTAGAATTTGTATCCTAATTTGCTGAACGGATCTCGATGTTTGACACAGATGTGGAACATAGTTTGGAAGAACACATCTCCTTATTTTTTTTAATTCCGCGAGGACGGAGTCTGGAGCAAATGATTACATAACTTCATCCGTTGAATGCAACTTGAATCACACAAAAAGATACATAAATCAAAAATGTTTATTCTGAGGTGAGAAAATTCTCAGGCAATAAAGTATCAAGAAGTGGCGACTTGTTATCATTTACAAGACTCGGAGCGATATCGTCGCAGTATTTCAATTATTTATGAATGAATCCGATGAAGAAAAAAAAACATTTCAACGCAACTTGTCGCTCTGTGTCGCTTTATTACTTAAAGCGTGCTTTAGTGTTTATTTTTATACCAACTGCTACTTTAATTGGTACTTCTTAATTTAGGGTTTTTTTTTATAATAAGGTGGCAAACGAGTAAGCGGCCACCTGAATCCACCGAAATGGAGAGCGACCGCTGCCCATAAACATCCTCAATTGCAGATGCGTTGCCTACCATTAATCGACGGAGGAGGAGACGCACATAAAGAGGACATTTCCCCTTCCTATGCGTCTCATACACCGTCAAATCCACTTTTTCTTCCCATCCTTTCCTCTTAAGAAAAGGGTGGAAAGGGAAAGGGACTAAAATTAGGCCTCCGGCACCACACTCATCAGACAAAACGCAGAATTGATTCCATTTCACGCCTGTTTTCTGTGTGGTCGTGGCATTGCACCGGGCGAGCCGGCCAATTCGTGCAAAGATGTTAAAGCAGGCTCTATCACTGTTGTGAGTACTTCTTTTACTTCAAATTCAAATAGGCACAAAATACCGCGTCTTACAACCCGTCTGTTTAGTGGTCAGTGTTGCTGTTGTAAAAATGAATAAACAACTGTACTCCAAAAAATATATTTAGACACTGTTCAAACCACATTTATTTATTTTATTACAATTTTTAATCTCTACACTGCTGGCAGTATTTATTGGTGACGATTGGTTTCAATTGCCATTTTTAAATAATCCTTGCCGGCCGATCAAGGTAGAAAAGGTCTACATTTTAGACTACTAAATACTGTTTATTTTTTTCCATAGAGTAAATCCGTGTTTACTTTTAACTCTGCATATTATAAGTAGAACGAATTCTTACGTGCATTTGTTACAAAAATACCCGCAGTACAAGTTGCCGGCGCACATTTAATTTAAATAATCTACATTCGATCTCTGTATAAACACTCTTAACGTGTATTCCGATCTTGAGAACTATTTTCGATTCGTATTTTATGCGGAGTTTCTTTTAAGTTTCGTTAGATCTTCGATAATCTTAAATAATGTTTATGTAAACATTCAATGAGATTTATTATTACTTTTTTAAATACTTTCAGCTGTCAAAGGAATTTAGTGGTGTTAAATTACGATTTTTTACCAGTTCATGAAGTAATATTTATTGTTAGTCGAAATTTTTACATATATTTTAACTATTTTCGTGGAATCTTCCTTCTTACTAATATTATATAGCGAAAGTTTAAATGGATGTATGATAGTTTAGTCTAAACGGCTGAACGGATTTCCATTAAATTTAGTAGAGAAGTAGAGGATAGTCTGGAAGAACACAAAGGCTACTCGCTTTTGTTTTTCTAAATTCCACGCGGACGGAGTCGCGGGCGGAAGCTAGTAATAAAACATGAAGTATCAGTACATTGAAAATTCTCACATTCTGTAAACCACTTAATACTTTTTTAAGTTTTATTTGGCGTAAACTACAAAAATGGCTTCACTTCTAAAAAATATTCTGCCAGTAATTCTACGTAATGACGTAAATCAAAATATAGGTCAAAATATCTTTAGATCCAGGTTTATAATACAATATACCCAGTTTAAAAAAAACTAAATTTCTTTTTCTTAATTTACTATGGCCGGTCAAAAGTCTTTTGATCATTTTAACGAGCAATAACTTTTGTATAACGTCTTAGTAAATAATGGGCACGCATTAGTGTTAAGTAAATTTGTTTTCTTTATCTGTATCAAATGTTGTAACATAAGTTAATTGTTATTTAATAATGATTTCTTAGTAACAAGTGCTACTTAACTTTGATAAGTGTGGTGCCAAATTGAAAGATAGCTACGAATTGTAATTTTATCATAAACTAGTCGTTGCTCGCGTATTCTTCCGCATTAATTAAAATATAGTAATATAGCCAATGTTAGAGAGCTTTCAATAATGCAGGAATTCGAAATCGGCTCACTTGTAACCTAAAAGAGAAATCTTTCCGTTTAATAATATTAGTAGAAATGTAGATATGTGTGCTAACGATTTTTATGTATATTTCATAAAACCCAATAACAGCAGATCATATTTGCCTAT